AGGGAAGGGAAGGGAAGGGAAGGGAAGGGAAGGGAAGGGAAGGGAAAGTCTTACTAAAACTGTCAGTAAGTCAATTTATGCAGCAATCAGACATCTGGAGAAGCCTTCAGAGAAACAGAGCATGACACCAAAGAACCCCCTGCCCCCACACATACACACACATTGAAAACTGTCCTCATCCCTCAAAATGACCATTTCTTACCTATTCTGTAAGATTTCTATCTTCACACAACAGCTCATTGAGTTTCAGGCTACAGCGTCCTTTCAGCGTGCAGGACAGGGAGTTTAGTTCTCAGCAAGGAGGCTTATTTGGCAAAATTTATCTGAGTTTACTTTTAAACTTGAAAAAAATACTTATATTCTCAATCATTTTCTAAAAAGAATTATGGAATTGCTGTCTTTAATTAAATGGAATCAAATAAGGAAAAGAAAGTTCTGAGCAGTGCAAAGGAAGAAAAAAAACAAAATTTTTCTTGAGATGGACACATTAGATGGATTTCCTGAAAAAATATAATTAACAGCTCCCTTCTTCTGCACCCTGTCTTGCCACCCCTGTCCATCTTCCCACCCCTGTCCATCTTCCCACCCCTGTCCATCTTCCCACCCCTGTCCATCTTTCCACCCCTGTCCATCTTCCCACCCCTGTCCATTTTCCCACCCCTGTCCATCTTTCCACCCCTGTCCATCTTCCCGCCCCTGTCCATTTTCCCACCCCTGTCCATTTTCCCAACCCTGTCCATCTTCTCACCCCGTCCATACTCCCACCCCTGTCCATCCTCTCACCCCTGTCAATCTTTTAACATCTGTCCATCTTCCCACCCCTGTCCATCCTCCCACCCTGTCCATCTTCCAACACCTGTCCATCTTCAAATACTTATCCATCTTCCCACCCTTCTATACTCCCCACCTCTCTCCATCTTACCACCCCGCCTACCTTTCTCCTTCCCCCAACCCCTCTTTATCCCCTCTCCTATTCCCATCTCCTTTCAATTCTCCCCAACCTCCCACCACTCTCCAGTCCCCACCTGTTTCTACTGAATATGTGATGGTTCCCACCCACCCCCAATCATTCTAACTATTTTCCACTTGTATTTTCCTTGAGGATTTTTTACAAATGCCTATAGATGAAGTATTATATATAAGATTTGATATTATTCAGCTGTTACAATATTTGAAATTTTTGTAAGAGCAATTATTGTACTTCTACTGAAAACATGAGCTCATGTTCAATTTCTCAGATTAGAGACATGATGTGTTCCATAGAGAAATGACAATAAAATAAAAATATCACATGATTTTTTTATATCCATTCAGTAAATACCTATTGAACACACACTGTAGGCTGTGGCCAGTCTTCTATAGCAGACATAAAATGTATTTTTGACTTTTTGTGGGGCCACTGGGAATGAAAATGTGAATCTGTATTTTATACATTCAACACAATCATCATCAAGGTCATTATCGGCATCAACATCATTATTGTTAGTATCTATACATTGCTTACTTAGCATCACACATTATGCAGCATATAGCAAGGTCTTTTTCTTTTTCTCAGATCTCCAATTTATCAAAGAGAAAGGATAAAATCAAAAAGTCACTGTAACTTAGACAAACTCCCGTCTGCTCTAAGAACAGAGTTGAAATTAATATCCGGGCACTCAGCTGTGGACCCAGAATCTCCTTTTCAACCTCATGTCATTTCCAAAAAGAGTTTGGATTCTGAAAATAGATAGACTTTGTTTCAAATCCAACTTCTTACATTTAGTTTTATATTTGTTAAAAGATAAATATAACCTCTTGTCTTAAGAGGTTATTTTGTGTGTTTGTGTTGTTTTGTTTCTTGCAGAATGGGAAAGAAAATATCAACCTGTTGAGTTTCTTGGAAGAAAAAGAGGAAAACTGATATGAAGTAGGCTTTCCCTAGTGTATGGCATCCTCAAAAGTAAAGTCAATTTCATTCCCAGCCTTGCTAATGACACTGCTCTTCTGACTGTAAGTGATCATTTTAGATATTATCTCCTCCAATGGAAGCAATAACTAGCCTTCCAATGACTTCAAGGAGTGAATTCAAAGTCCTCAGATGGAATCCCCACAGCTTCTTAGAATCAATTTTTCAGTATGTACTCAAAACCTGGCATCTAACATATTAATCACTTAAAGCCTTTCTTTCATCACTAAACAGACTAATTCCAATTTACTTAAATTTCAACAAGTTTCATGATGATTTATAATTACTCATGTACAATGTATCTGTATAAACTTGTTCTACACAAATAAACAGTAATAAGTTACAGCAAGGGAAAAACAAACAATCGTAGTTTCACCTAAACTGGCAATAAGGGAAGACACTTCACATAAAGAGAAGTCTATTATATTATGTATCCACAGCTCTGGAATAGAAAATAAAAGGGGAAAGAGTATGAGAAAAGCATCTAGGATAGCCTAAAATGCTTAGAATTTATGAGAAATAATATAAATATGACTCAAATATTGAATTGTGGATATCATAGAAGATTTTTTTTAAAGGAAATCCATTTGCCACTCTGAAATCACCACTTTGTAGCAGAAATTCTCTTGATTGGAAAACCCTATGGGCTTGGATCCAAACTCTAACACAGGAATTATTCATATTCTGATCTTGAAGGATCACACACCCTGGTCCTAAAACAGGAAAGTGTGAAACATTCCTCTAAGACTGATGATTCATCTAGCAGCATACAAAGAATTTGCAGCTCCTTGACTTTTCTAATGGAAACATATAAAAAACGTTTTAAAAAACAGCAGAAAGTTGTAATTTGACTCAACAAGTACATCCAATGATCAATTTATTAAGGAGTCAACTCTTGAGACTTTCTGAACTCCATTCCAAACCTAGTGCAATGCACAGATACTCTTCAACTAAGTTGCAATTTACTCTATAGCCCTTAGCATTGTTTGAGGCTCAACAAAAAGTATGAACTATATGAAAACTTCATTCATAACTTAATTCCTGTTCAAGACATGTGTATTTTATGTCTTGAAGTATTTTAAATTAATGTCTATCTATAAATTGTATATGAAATATAAAACCCACTGGCATTATTGTAATGAATTAAAATATTTGTGTTTATGACAACAGAGAATTTTGTAAATATTGAGGACTTCAGTACCAAGAACCCCCACCTGTAAATGGAGAGCTTTTTTCTGGGTCCTGCCAAGCCTCCACAGTCCTGCAGCTCACTTATAAAATAAACACACAGATGCTTATATTATTTAAACTGTTTGGCCTAATGGCTCAGGCTTCGAGCTAGCTGTTCTCATATCTTAAATTAACCCATTTCTATTCATCTATAAGTTGCCATGTGGCTTGTGGCTTACAGGTATCTTAACATCTTCTCATGGCAGAGGCTGGCAGCGTCTCTCTGCCTCAGCCTTCCACTTCCCAGACCTCTCCTCTCTCTTTGTTCCACCTATACTTCCTGTCTGGCTACTGACCAATCAGCATTTTATTTATCCATCAATCATCCACAGCACCCACTTCTTATGCCCAGTCCATAATTTCTTTCTATTCCTCACAAAACCAGGTCTTGAAAAATCATCATGATGTAAATATTGAAATTACTTGTTTTATTGACAACATCCAAAGGCTTTAAAAGTTGAAAAATACTGTTCAGAATTTTGGGTAAGTGTGATTTAAAATACACTCCTAGGCAGAAAAGGTCTGTAGAAAGAGTATCTGTTCCATTCCTTCTACTCCTGATTAAACCCAACAGGAATCAGCATAGAATTATTTTGTTCTGATTTGAATAAGCGTCAATTTCGCTGTGTAAAATTTCATCAGAATATGAGTGCTCTTCCTCAGGCATAAATTATAAGGTTTGGAAGTCATTTAGTAGGAAGCTTCCAGGAAGTGGTCTTGTTCCCTCTTTCTTGTTCAGTGTGGAATGTTAGGACTTTCGTCTACCTTTGACATAAATGGAAAAGCACATAATTTAAATGCTCTAGTAAGATAACTATCTTGTTCCAGCTTCCTGTTACAATTGCCTCCTTACTTTCCAAAATTTCAATATCAATGTGTCCTTATGAAAAGACACCCCAAAACCATATTAGGGAAGATAAAATGTACAAAAGAATAAAATTATAGAAAGTTGGTAGAAATTTGGGGTTGGGAATTGAAAGTCATCTAATACTGCATCCAGCTTGATTTATAAATCCTTCCTAAGAACTCTTATGATCCTGGAGGGAAAAGATCCCTGTCATCTACTTTATTCTGTGTGCCCTACAAAGTATAATCACAGACCTTCATGCCATGGGTTCTCAATAAATATTTCTGACAATTGTTGAAATACATAATACATAACCTTGCTGGACCTAACCTGTCATTGCCTACTGGTGAATACAAATCACTTCC